TCAAAACTCCTGACTGCAGGTGATCCCCCAGGGACCTCGGGCCTCCCAAAGTGCTGGGATTATAGGTGTGAGCCACCGCGCCCAGCCCAAAAGGAGAAAAATTTAAATTGAATAGTAAGCAAGTCTTCTACCCATTTCTTGGGCTTCTGTCATCTGGGTCATTTCCTCTAAAGATCTGCTTCTTTCATTTCAGAACCCACAAATTTTCTAAACGCCGATAAATTGTCATTCATTCTTCAATTTTGTATCACCTAGTTTGGGTCAACTACAGTTCCAATCTACCACATCCTTTCTGGCTTCACTTCTTTCCTTATTCACCTTGGACTTCATGGACTGTGATCTCAAGACACTTTTACTACACCCTCAGTTACTTTTGTCTTTTGTTCTTTGGTCCCAACCACCTCACCCCTCCCCAGTTCTAGATCAACATAACCTTTATGTTTATTTGCTTATTCAATAAATATTTATTGAGTGCCTGTTGATATGCCAACAGTTGTTCTAGGTATTGAGGACACAGATGTATTTTCTCTCCTTCTGAGTGTTGGCTTCTGTTTTATGGGAGAGCATTAGTTAATCAGGAGTCGGAACTGGTACCAATATGTGGTTTCCAGCCTTAACTTGAAAGTCCTCATGGAGAGCCAAATGCCTTGTCAATTTCTCACAGCTGCTCTCCTTAAGCACCTCTTTCTAGTCCCAGCCTCTGCCTTTTGTAGACCACCTTACAGTCTGCCTCAAAAGGATAATAGACAAACCAGTGCCACATTCCCCAGAGTTCTTCCCTTTCCTTTTCCTTTTCGCCCTCCCTACCCCGCCCTCCCCCAGGCTGGAGTAGTACGGTGGCACAATCTCAGCTTCCTGCAACCTCTGCCTCCCGGGTTCAAGCGATTCTCCTGCCTCAGCCTCCCCAGTAGCTGAGATTACAGGCGCCCGCCACCACGCCTGGCTAATTATTTTTGTATTTTAGTAGAGACAGGGTTTCAAATGATCTACCTGCCTTGGCCTCCCAAAGCACTGGGATTACAGGCATGAGCCAGCACACCTGGCCTCTTCTCTTTTCTCTTTTTCTTTTTCTTTTGTTTTCTTTTTACTTTTCTTTTCTCTCTTCTCTTCTCCTCTTTTCTCTTCCTTATTTCTTTTTCCTTTTTTCCCTCACTCTGTCGCCCAGGTGGAGTGCAGTGGCATGATCTCGGCTCACTGCAACCTCCACCTCCCGGGTTCAATCGATTCTCCTGCCTCAGCCTCCTGAGTAGCTGGAATTACAGGCACCCACCACGATGCCCGGCTAATTTTTGTGTATTTAGTAGAGACAGGGTTTTGCCATGTTGGCCAGGCTGGTCTCCAACTCCTGACCTCAGGTGATCCACCCTCTTTCTCTGTCTCTTCTTTCCTTCTTTCTCTCTCTCTCTCCTCTCTCTTCTCTCTCCTCTCTTCTCTCTTTGTCTTCTTTCTCTCTCTCTTTCTTTCTTTTTTCCCCCCCAGACCAGGTCTCACTCTGTAGCCCAGGATGGAGTATAGTGGCGCCATCACAGCTCACTGCAGCTTCAACTTCCCAGGCTCCAGCAACCCTCCCACCTCAGCCTCTGAGGAGCTAGGACCACAGGTACACACTGCCACACTTGGCTTTTTTTTTTTTTCAATGTTTTTTTAGAGACGGGGTCTCACTATGTTGCCCAGGCTGGTGTCCTGGGCTCGAGGGATCTTCCCATCTCAGCCTCCCAAAGTGCTAGGATTACACACGTGAGCCACTATGCCCGGCCACATTCCTCCTTTTGACCTCTACACTGTAAAGGCACCCATCTGTATGTATCTTCCTGCCTCGCTGAAGAAGAGGATCTCCTTACAAAGGCCTTATAACTCAGACCTTTACCCTCCCATCTGTCTCTTCTGAAATACTGCACCCTAACACTTATCCTTTCTCACTTTTATAATATATTTTATTCTGCAAGGTCATTCTCTTTAACTTACAAGTATGTTTGATTCCCTCATTCTAAATAATCTTTCTTCAACCCGACCACCCTTCTGCTTTCTCTTCACCCTCACATTTCTTGAAAAAGAAGTTTTATTTTCTTTTGAGATGCAATCTCACTCTGTCATCAGGCTGGAGTGTAGTGGCGCAATGTTGGCTCACTGCAACCTCCGCCTCCTGGGTTCAAGCAATTCTCCTGCCTTAGCCTCCTGAATAGCTGGGATTACGGGTGCGCACCACCACGCCCAGCTAATTTTTGTATGTTTAGTAGAGATGGTGTTTCACCATGTTGGCCAGGATGGTCTTGATCTCTTGACTTTGTGATCCACCCACCCACCTGGCTGCCGAACAGTGGCTGAGTTACAGATCGGTGAGGCACCGTGCTGGCCAGAAGCGTTTTTTTTCTTTCTTTTTTTTTTTTTTTTTATTTGTTATTATTTTTTTGAGACAGGAGTTTGCTCTTATTGCCTAGATCTAGAGGTGCAATGGCGTATCTCGCTCACCGCAACCTTCCTCTCTGGGCTCAAGCGACTTCTCCTGGCCTCGCCTCCTGAGTAGCTGGAATTACAGGCCACTGCACCGACCATGGCCGGCTAATTTTGTATTTTTAATAGAGACAGGTTTCTCCAGCGTTGGTCAGGCTGGTCTCGAATGCTGACCTCAGGTGATCCGCCCACTCAGCCTCCCAAAGTTGCGTGGGATTACAGGTGTGAGCCATTGGCGCCCGGCCTGGAAGTTTTATTTTCTTCTTTTTTTTTTTTTGAGACAGAGTCTCGCTCTGTCGCCAGGCTGGGATCCGGCTGTGGCCGGGATCTCGGCTCACTGCAAGCTCCGCCTCCCAGGTTCATGCCATTCTCCTGCTTCAGCCTCCCCAGTAGCTGGAAATACAGGTGCCCGCCACCACCCCCAGCTAATTTTTTTGTATTTTTTAGTGGAGACAGAGTTTCACCGTGTTAGCCAGGAGGGTCTCGATCTCCTGACCTCATGATCTGCCCGCATCCGCCTCCCAAAGTGCTGGGATTGCAGGCATGAGCCACCGTGCCCAGCCAGAAGTTTTATTTTCTATACCTTCTTCAGCTCTCTTAATTTGGCAACCCACTGAAATTAAGCTTTTGTCCTTATTACTTTACTACATCTATTCTCAAAATGCCTAATTGCCAAATACAATAGCCTATTTTCAGTCCTTATCTGAATTTTTTTCCAAACTCCTGACTTTCTTCCCAATTTCATCTATTCAGTGAGACAGAGGTCCCCAAATCCTGGGCTGCAGACCAGCACCAGTTCATGGCCTGTTAAGAACCGGGCTGCACAGCAGGAGATGAGGTTTACTTGGATAGTGGGCACTCAGAGCCTGAGCTCGGCCTCCTGTCAGGATAGGCAGCATAGTTTTCTATAGGGGATTCGCAAACCCTATCGTGAACTAATGATGCAAGGGATTTGGGTACATCCTCCTATGAGAATCTAATGCCTGAGATTGATG